TTTTTTTTTTTTTTTTTTTTTTTTAATTCCACAATTAGTAGTTGACATTTCAATTTTCTATTTATTTGATAATTTTTTTTAAAAAAATGTGTAATAAACTTTTAATTGCTTAAATTCAATATTTATTTAAATAAAATTTTTAATTTTTAATTTTCTGTACCATAAATCTACAAATAATAATAATAATAATAATTTTATATTTAATATATCTATCATATATTCAACCTTTTTCTTACAACAAAATAATTTTAGGGTTTTTTTTAGATATTTTAAAAAAAATAAATATATGAAAACTTTATTAAATGTTCAAACAACTTATTAAACACATAATTTAATTGGAAGATTTTAAACTTATTAAACATTTTTTATAATTTATAAATTAAATAAATACAAATTTTAAAACTAGACTATAATCTTCTAATCTCATTACTAAATTTCATTAATTATTCTTTACATTAAAGTCAATAATTATTGAGATGCATTATATTAGCAACAAATCACATCATTTTAATTATTTCTATGTAATTCCTCACCCCTAAAAAAATATTCATTATATTACACCTTTTAATAAAATAAAAAATACTCAAATATTAGTTATGAACCGAACATGTCATTAAATATAAGGTATTCAAACCCATGTTAATTATTACATTAAAAAAATTAATTTTGATATAATATAATTTGAGAAAAATTAAAGAGATTAGGTCAATGGAAATAGACGAAGTTCGTGAGTTAAGAAAGAAAAAGATGTCGCATCTAAATAATTGATTTTGTTCCTTAACCCTTTTGATAATGCCTCATCAACCTCCAATTAATTAATAAATTTCCCCGCCCCACTTCTCTACCTTATACAACATTTATAATTATCTTATCTTTATAAAGTTATACACGGGTGTCTGAAATTTCGAGTTGGTTGAGTTAGTGACTCGAACAATTCAAATAGACTTTGCAATTCAACCTAATACAACTTCTATTTACGAGTCTAGTTCAACAGTACCCATAAACTTGTATGCTTTTGAGATAAGGCGAAAATGAAAGAAACCGAATTTTTGTCGATATTTATAAACAACGTCATATAATACTTAACAATAAGTGTCGTACGTATTAATATACTCGTGGAATTAAAAGGTTGAACATGATCATACTTTATTATATATAAATATAATGTTTAGGTGGCAACCAAAGAAGCATTGACACATAGGATTGGGATTGAATAATTGGATGCCAACTCAGATAATATATAATTAAATTTTTTTACTTTTAAATTCGTATATTTCTAAACTTAATTTTCAATTTTAGAGTTTCATTAAAATTTATTTTTTAATTTATTTTTTTAATATATTAGGATGAGACAAAAGAAAAATTAAAATTCTAATTTTTTTTTTAGGGAATTTTAAAAGGTGAAAGAATAATTTATTTTTTAAAAATATTATTATTATTGGAGTGGTTGATTGAATTGGTTGAATAGAGTGGCAATAAAGGCAAAGTGGGCCATGATGGGCCCATTATTTGGGCTTCTCTAAGGCCTTTATGAGAATTAATTTCCATCCAAATCCCCACGGACGTTTCAGCCCCGTCATTAAATGCCAGTAGTGTCGCCCGTACCGGATCATTTGGACTTATTTACAGCTGGATTTTTCTTTTCTTTTTGGAGGTTTGAGATATATTTTTTTAACATTGGTTAGAGCAACTCTTGTATAGAGTATATATAGTGGACAACAAAATAATTGTTTGGTCAAATATTTATTAATTATTTGATTAGGAGAGGATTATTAAGGTAATAAAACAAAATAAATTATTAATTTAATAACTAAAATGAATAATTACCTTAATTTGGGATCAACATTGTTTCGTTCATTAACAAAATAATTTCGTGCCCATTTGAGTATAATTCAATAAACCTTTTGTGATACCCGAGTCAATGAGAGATATATGAATGAACCGAGACTATATCCAAATGTGAGTGATTTAAAAAATAGGATGACTAATAAAGGTTTACACGAAATGAAAGTTATTCTCTAATACCAACAATGTGCACGTTTTCTTTTGAAGACTTGTGGTTAAGCATGCTCTAATGGGAGAAATTTTGTGTTGGGTGATCCAGGGAAATTTGTGAGTTTTGTGAGAATAGTTTTCACTTTTAGAAGTGAGGAGTAGGTAATGTGACTATGTCGTGTTGCAAGAGATGCAAGAAAATGTCGGGGTTATCAGATGCTGAATCCTGACATAAATCCTAGGTATGAGCCATTGCACCCTTGATCGAATTCTGATCTAAATCCTAGGTAGTTGGGGCTATCAAGTGCCGAATTCGAATCTAAATTGTGAGATCCCACATCTATTTGGGATGAGAACAAATCATTACAACCTTGACCGAATCCTGATCTAAATTGTGAAATCCATATCGGTTGGGAGGAGAACGAAGCATTCTTTATCAAAGTTGGAAACCTCTCCCTAGCCGACACATTTTAAAAGAAAGAGAAAACGCCCAAAGAGAACAATATTTACGAGTAGTGAACTTGAGTTGTTACATAAATCTTTGGTATGAGTCATCACACCCTTGACCGAATCCTAATCTAAATTCTGAGTATGAGTCATTACACCAATGACATGACCGGAGAACTCTACTGATGTTTTAGAGTTAATAGTCATTATACCCTTGACTGATAGTCAATGAACTCTAGTGACCCTTTTAGAGCTATTTTTCAAATTTCAATAACGAAATTGAAATCATAATTCACCAAAAAAAAAAAAAAAAAATCAACATTTAAAAATAGATCGTTAGCCTCGTAATACAGTCATTATTCAGTTATTAAAACCGTTAAGTAACTACATGAAACCACTTAACTACCTAACAAGAAAAACCGTTACAAAACGAAATATTCAGTCAAAGTCAGTCAAAGACTCAGTCAAAATAACGATACTCGGATTCCCTATAAATACTTCCCTCATCTCCCATCTCTTACACATCACCATTCAACAGAAACAAGAAAGCCTTTAACCCGTCATCAACAATGGACCGCCGTCAAATTCAAGATCAAGAAACCTCCGCCGCCAAGGGAACTCATTTCAAGTTCCCAAAAGTCGCCGACGAGTACGAAATCCAATCACAAATCGGCGCCAGCGACCACAGCACAGTCTACAAAGCAATATGCAAATCAGCAGACTCAACAATGATCGTCGCCATAAAAATCATTGATAGCAACGTCGAAATTGACCCAACTGCAATTACGAACATCAACACAAATCTCTCCTTCATCAACCACCCACATATCCTCAGCCCTCATTGTTGCTTCATCGCCAACGACGGCTGCCTATGGATCGTAATGCCATTCATCCACGCCGGACCTCTACAAGCCATAATCTCCCAGCGATTCCGAACCGGCTTACCGGATCAATTCATGTCAATTCTTATCAACCAACTCCTCCGTGCATTGGTTTTTCTTCACGAAAAAGGGTTGGTTCATAAATCCGTGAAAGCAAGCAATATCTTTTTTGATACTCATGGGTGCGTATTGCTATCAGATTTGGACGTTTCAAAGGATATGAACAAAGATTGTTCATCGGTGCCGTATTGGGTTCCACCGGAGGAGGATTATAGTTCCAAATCAGATGTTTGGTCGGTGGGGATTTTGGCTATGGAAATTGCATATGGGTGTCCTCCAATTTATGATCAAAAGGTAATCAAAGCCCAATTCTCCAAGATTTCTAGACGATTTCCTTATGATTTGAATTTGGATACTCGATCAGGGAAGAGCGTTGTTCCAAGGAAATTTGGTGATACATTGAAGCATTTTGTGGGTTCTTGTTTAGCTAAAGATCCATTTGCAAGAGTTTCGGCATTGAGTTTATTGGATCATCCATTCGTGAAGAAAGGGGAAAATTCAAATTTTTTGTTCAAGAGTATTGCTAAAGGAATGGTGGGAATTGGGGAAATGTTTGAGCAAGATAAGGATAGAATCATTGATTTGATGAAGAACGAGGTGCAATTGGGTGAGAGTAGTCAAGGTGGTGGTGGTGGGAAGGTTTTGAGGATTACGGGATGGGATTATAATAATTTCTTGTTTGAATTGGAGCCTGATGAGGAATCGTTTGGGAAAAGGGTTAGATTTCGTGGGGAGACGGTGTTTTCTTATAAAGAACAAGAACAATGTAATAAATTTGATATGAAATCTCTGATGCATGGTGGGAGTGATGAGAAGAAGGAGGTTGATCAAGCTATGGATAGTGAAACGTTGGCCACATTGTTGTCTTCGTTGCTTGATAATATTGATACACAAAAGGAAATGGTTAGTATGTTGATGAACCATTGTGGTTTTATGCATGATAAGGATTTGGAAATGGTTAAGCAAATTAAGAGATTGGAGGATGAGTTGGCTGCTGAGAAAGAAAAAAGCTTTCAATTAGAGCTCAATTTTGAGCTTTTGAAGCTTAAACTTCCCGATTCTGATGAGGAACAAGAACAAGAAGAGTACGAACCTGAACCTGAACCAGAACCAGAACCAGAACAACAACCAGAACAAGAAGAAGGACCAAGAGAACGAGAACGAGAACCAGAACCAGAAGGAGGAGACGAAGGAGGAGAAAAAGAAGAAGATGTTCAAGCATTGATGCAATTGTTTGGATGATAGTCGAATTAAATTAATCAAGTTTGC